TTTTTACCTCTTCAGGTATCTTATGTTCCTCATATTCTAAGCAAATGACACGAAGATCCTAGCTTTGTTCCACACAGCTTCCCACATATCATCTTCAAGGAAGATCAGTCTGAATACAGTATGGAAACTCCCTTCTTTACATGTTTATTATCTTTATTTTGAAAATGTCCTATGTCTTTTCTACACATTTCAATTTAGTTCTGACCCTTTCTCTAAATGCCTGAAAATACTTTAAAAGTATCTTGTATTGTCTTCTGTCATAACCTTGTACTTTGCTTCCTATGGAGGAAGAATGTTTTAGAAGAGCAAAGTAGTTATTTTCACTTCCCTTATCTCTATTATTAATAGTTTTTGTGTATCCATTCCAATCATATTTAATAAAGAGGAGAAAAATCCTTTAGGACAAAAGGTGCCATGTTTTACTTTGTACCTTCTATTTATACTTGCTCAAAAGGTTTCTGTCTTCATTCAAACAGTGGCTAAAACCTGAATTGTGAAAACAAGCACATTTTTTCTCTGCTCATGACGCAGCAATCAAGCATAGTAAAAAGAGAAACTGGAATAGCTTCTTTTTGTGGAGTGACCACAGAAATCGTTATTAATTCCCAGTCATAGCTGGGAAAATCTGCTGAAGATGGGTAAGTTGACAAATGTCATTAATGTCACTAAGGGGAAAATTAAACCTTAAAAGAGTATTTTTGTTGTTCTACATGAATAGAAAATGAAAAAGTTAAATTCTTAGGGACCTTTGGTGAATGCTGAGGGTTGGCAATTATATCATAAATACGCAAATAGCTCATTACTTTGAGTAAATAAATAAATACTTTGTTCATGCAGAGGACAATGAGCACTTACATTCCACTTGCTTTACCTGCTAGTTTTAGCCTGGAAAAACACAGTATGTAGCTTTTGACAGCTCTCTTCTTATTCCTTTCTTGTTTTGAACAAGAAAATACCTTGCCCATGTCCCTGCTCTTGCCAACTAAGTCTACTGTATTCCTTTGGCTCTCTTTGGAAAAGCAAACATCTTCCAGCAATTCATCCACTTCCCTTCATAACCTTATAATCATACTTCGCATTTAATTCTTTTCCTCTTGTCACACCATGTTGCCTGAAAATCTTCTGTCAGGTCCTCTTAACTTTCCTGGCACTACCCATAACTGTCCTTGTCCCCATTCAGCCTCTTACACAAACCTTCAGACTGTCTAGCACTCATTTCTGCAGCGCTAAGATTTTCGGTATTGCCAGGTCCCACTGCTCTGATTGCAGCTGATGCAAAAGGCTGCTACATATCTTCTCACAGGTACAAGGCAACCTGGTCAAACAACCTTTACCCTCACATACCTCCATTAGCTCCCATAATGTCTCGATTCAGTTAAAAAGCAATCCACTTGCTTTTAAAAGTCTGTATTGATTTGCTCCAACATCTGAGTCTCTGCTGTCTTTCTGTTTTCCTCTTCTTTCTAGTAATGTAACAACTGCCTGAATGAATAAGTTCAGTAGCATGTCTCTGGCAACAGACATTACTACATGCTTCAGTACAAGGAGTAAGAAATAAAATGCACAGATATTTAACACTGAGCACAGAGGAAGTTTCTTCAGAGTCCTTTAAATGAAAAACTGACTTCTGTCCTGAGACATTAGAAGCGATATTTGTTTACCCTGATAAATACACTTGAAGATGTTAGAATAATTAATAAAATTTTAGTCAGTTTGGGTTTTTTTTAAATAATATGGTTGGAGTTTAAGTTCTTCACATTCTTTGTGTCAGGTTCCCACCTGTGAAGAAGGTGGGATTCATTAGAACTCATTAGAATTATGTAGTAGCCTTTCCTCAGGTAGTTCCTGCTATTTGGAACATCCTTCCAACATTTTTCTATATATCCTGACACTTCTTGAGGTATTCACCCTCAGCACTTTAAACCTGAGCTGAAAGCAATTCCTGTCTCTTGTCTCATCTCCTTACAGTTCTTCTGGTAATTACCAGGTCATATTTGCATGTCACTCTATTACTATGCAAACAGGTTTTCTTATTACTATCCAAACAGGTTTCAAGTTAAGGTTGTCTTATTATAGTAAAGGACATTTTTCAGTGCCAGCCCTTCTTATTCTGATTTAAGACACATAGTTACTGAAGAATAGGAACATCATAATCAATCTGCCACAGAAAAATGTGATTGTGTAACCAAAGGATCCCATGGCACTTTGAAGAAGGGCCAGAAGACTGTGAGGGGTAAAAAACTCTTAGACGAACAGTTTTGGAGACTAAGATGAAGAGTGAATAGGTAACATGGGAAAAAGAAAAAGTATAAATGTTCCAGCACAGAATATTGCCTAAGATACCTCTACAGGGGCAGGTATATTTTTTGGATCAGCAATGGAAGAAGCAAGAGAACTCCAACTGATGTATGAGTAAGCAGAATATTTGAAAACTGCCAGGATTGGAGGGTCTTTTTTTCATCATCTTTAATTCAATGGAGAGAAAATTTTTGCTACGGCCTTTTATTCTGAAAGCTTATCTTTCTCCGGTTTGATTTTTTTGGTACTCTTCATGCTTTCCTGTACTTTTTTGCTTTCTTTCTGCATGTAAAGTCCTGAAATTTCCATCTCTGCTCGTATGATAATAATAGGAATAATAATAATTGTTATAATAACAACCACAAGCATTGCTAAAGTGAAAAGCTGCTGAGGGGATCAAAAGGAAGGGATATGGTTGAGATAGTCCATGTGATGGAGGAAGCAGGGCCTTGTTAGTATGAGCTGTCACTGCAAATCGAGGGCAGCTCATCTCAGGCTCACTCCTAACAATCCTGAGAAAGAGGAAGGAAAAAAACCCTGCAACCAAACACAAAAAAGAAGCCACTCAGTACACATGGCTGTTTAAGAAAGTTGGCCTCCCTTGAAACTGCTTCAGTGCAAAGGAGAGGCACCTTAGAGACAAACACCCACACACCTGAGACACCCAGAGATGCCTGGAGGAATAGGAGTGGTCAGAAAAATCAAACAGAAGCAAAAGAATAGCGTAGATTTGGTGATTCTGGGAAGGAAGAGGAAGTAGTTGCTCAATCAAATTATCTCTGATATAGATGAAGAAGGTTGAGATGAGAAGTATGAAGAAAGAGAATTCTGCAGGATGTTAATAGAACACCCACCTGTCTCCAGGAAAAGCCAAAGGAACTGCCTGGAATTACCATACAAATTACCCAGGCACATTTTACTGTAAACAAAAACTGATCACTCACTTGCAGCCAGTCTTTTAAGGTGACCAGGTATCCTATAGATGCTCTGCTACTCAGTGTCTGTCAGGTAACATTTCAGATGTTGTCAATCCCTCGGCATCTCCAAACAGTAGGAAATTACTTGGAGTGTACATATATTCCCTTTCTTTCCATATCACAGAAGCAGAAATGATAAGGTGTGATTTAACCAAGATCATGATGCCATATTTGGTATCACAGCACTTTTCTTGAAATTTTATCAAAACCCTTGTTTTGCAGGGGTTTCCACATGACACTCTGGAATCTCATTTGGGATTTGTTTCAGTTTAACATTTACACAACTCTAAATGTTTGCAGACATTTTCTGTCACTCAGTTCAAAATGTTCCCCCTCTTCCTCCTCCTCGTCGCATTACTCCTCATTATATCCTCTTAAACAAGCTGTGTACAATTCCTTTCCGTATTAGCTTATACATGCTTCTAAAAAACAACATATGCCCAGTCTCTTAATGCTGACATTTAGCAGAACTCTGTGCCTGTACATATGTAGCTCTCTCCAGCTCCAGTCCCTGTAGATGGTGTTTACGGAAAATCAGAATTCGTCTGACTGCCCACACAAGCCATTAGTATCTTGGTTTAGTCATCCCGATGGTTTAGTTCCTAGTTACAAGGATCACAACATCTTTGAATATAACTGTACAACACATCTGAATAATTCTATCACGTAAAAAGCAAAAAAAAAGTTTCTTATTAGCAGGAGAATAGTATTCCAAGACCACGTATCAGAACAGCAATGTTGAAAAGGCAAGAACAAGGAAGAAGAAAATACACGTCATGCAGAAGAGCACAGAGCAATTTCAATAAAACAGGAATGGTGATTCTGCTTCTGGATATTTTATCAAAACTCCATTTAACGGCTCTCCAGGTATTGTAAAACTGTGGTTGTCATATCCTGTTATGACCCACCAGACTACACAATCTTAACACATGCCATCCCAGGAATATGTACATTTAGGTGATGAGAAGATATTGTATACATTCTTTCTTGTCATACAGCACCTCTATGTAATTTTAACTGTACCTTCACCTTTAGACAGTGTTTATCTGTTTTTCCAGTTCCTTATTTTATTATGCAGAAAGGCAAAGGTGTATGGGTTTGATGAAATACTCAATATCTCTTGTTAAAATGCTGTAGAGTATGACTGAAATGAGGAGAATGGACAGTGGAATACAGGAACAAGAGAGGATGGAAAACTAGAGCATCTCAAAACACAGAAAGACAGAGAAGAAATGTGAATAGTGAAAAATGCTAGAAAGTCTGACTGAAGAATAAGAAGATGAAATGGAGAAAAGTAGGAGATAGAGAAGATGAAGAGGAAATGAAGAAATGCTCGCTAAGGCCTGCTCTGGCAAGCTGATGCTTGTAAAATCCCTGTCAAACCCTGGCAGTGTCCCCTCTCCTGCACAATGAAACCACATGCTCTGTCTGACATGCAGAGCTACATCTCCCATTGGCGTCTTCTCCAGGGCAGCTTTTTCCTCAACAATCACATCAGCTGCTATACTCATTTTTCTGCCAAGAGGGGAAGAATGGAAAGCCCATTCAGAGAAGGAAGGAATGAATGAGAAGGGCAGAAGTGAAACTGTGAAGCTGGCATGGCAGGATAAAAAGGGGCAAAACACACAAGTAAAAAGACAAAGCTCCAGGATTCAGAAGATGAAAGCAAATCAAGTGAGAGACAGAAGTAGAAATTCTGGGACTCAGACACAGGGGTCTCCTCACCTGACTGGCTGGTGCTAACATTGATGGTGGCATAGTGGGGTGCTTCTGAACTTAATTCAGTTACCAAGTTGACAGCCTGGATCTCAAAGGTGTAGTGCACACGGGCCAGGAGGTTGGAGACTTGCACGCGGCTTTCTGTCAGGCCCACTTGGCGTGGTTCAAATTGAACACTGTCCCCACAGCGCACACAAGGCCCTGAGGACCCAGTTGGGCACACTTTGCAGATGACATTGAAGAAAACATCCTTGCGGCCACCCAGGTCCCTCGGGAGGCGCCAGGTCAGGAGCACGTTGGAGCCAACAATTTCATAGCTAAGGTCACGAGGAGCAGAAGGGATGCCTAGAAGACAGAATGAAAGATCAAAACCCCATGAAAGAATGGGAAAGAGGTGGGGAGGGGAGAAGAGAAAGCAAAGGGAAAAGAGCAGAAGAAAAAGTTGATTTTTCTTCTCATTTTTACTCTTCTCTAGTTGTTTCTCAGAACAAGGCTAAGAAAAACATATTCTTTGCTAGATCAAGCACATACATTAACAAAGGAGCAACTGCATTATCACATTTTAGAGAAATAAAATTATAAAGAAGGGTCTTTGTTTCAAGGGTGTGACTTTTTCATTTCCCTAAAAGAACATTGTTTAGGGAAACGTAAGTCCTTTGAAATTTTACACAAGCTTACTAAATATATGTTTCTACTGAGACCTTGAATTCTCTCCTTTGGCATCTAATATCTCTGAATTATCTCAGACTTCAGTTAGCCTGTTCCATTTATTGCAGGAACTGGACACCAGTTTCCCTGTGATTATTCCTGATGCCAGCCAGATTCCTCAATGGCAATGGGGTTAAACTCTGACAGCTTAAATATTGCCCATTCTGTGCATTCAACACTTCCCCTGAAGTCACAGTGAAGAGAAGGAAGAAAATGCAGAGGGTCAGAAGAAGGTATGGGGATGAGAATGGGACAGAATACTGCAGGTGAACTGAAAAGTTCAGAGAGGTAAAATAGGCAGCATTACTGCACTGCTAAACCTGGGCACAGACACAAAGCAAGAGGGGAAGGGCAGGGACAGAGAGGCTCAGTAACGGGGAGGGGCAAGGAAAACATTATTTACAGAACATTTCCCTCTGCAGGTTGTAATGAAATCCAAGAATCCTCCATCTCACTACTGGTCTGTAGTCAAGAAATACTGATGAAAGAGCAAAACATTTTCCTTGTCTAACACTAAGCAGTGTAAAGGATGTCATCCTCTATTAGTACAAGTGCATGAGGTCTTTTGGGGGGAACTCTCTGGATGCAGTTTAGTTCATTGCTGGAGCATTTGAGTATTTCCAATAGCTATATTTCCCATGTTGTTAAAATATAAATTATGTTGGAAAATTGCACACAGAAGACTGTTAAATAATGTATTACTGAAAGATGAAGTATTTGTACATCATGAAATGCCAGAATTATGTTTTGTTTTTTGATCTTAACTGGGCCCACTCAACATTTGCACTGTGGTATAGCATTTAATTGCATGATCATGCACTAGTTTTCCCTGAGCATTCTTACTACAGTCAGTGCAAAGGATAGACAACTGCTCAGGAAAAAATAATCCCTGCGAATTACAGACTGCTTGATGCTGGCTGCTGAAGGTGGATTCTGTGCAGTATAGGAGGCAAGGGATTACAGAGAAAAACCCACAATCACATCTCCTAATTTCTGAGTATTTAACTTCTGAGCCATACAGTGTTTCCCTGTCACTTCTACAAAGTTCAAGGATGATGCTTGACATATTATTTAAGTTATATTTTTGAGTGCTAATAGGTATCTTTATTTAATTTTCTGCATCTACTTATTCTTTCTGGACCTATTAATAGTCAATGACTGCAAAATGTCATAACTGATGAGAACCGCTGAGAAGCTAATGGAAAAACAAACTATTTTTCCATAAATAAAATTCACAGAATTTGAATTCTATGCAATAAATATGGTCTTCACACTTTGAATGATAAAGGGAAGAAAATATTGGTTAACTCCTTCAAAGAATACCTTGTGTATGAAATGAGTTTAGCACATCATGAGAAATTAGTATGCCATTCTCTCATGAAAAGCTGTACCTTATGCATAATTGCAGTGGACTTATTTAAGATTGCATGAGTCATCCACAATTTGACAATTTTTAATTTCTGAAATCTAGTATTGCAACACTCCAGTATTCTCAAAACACAGTTTCACCAACGTATTAGCATTGTAAAAAGCATGTAGGAACACTTCTGCTCTGTCATCTACATTCAGTGAGTGGATATACCCTGTAGTCAACTGCAGGAGCAAAGGGAAGTTTCGGATTATTCCAGCGGTCTTGAGGAAAAGTGAATTGCAACTCCCCTGAATCATTTGGGCACATCCTGTCTCATTAACTGCCCTCCCTGCTTTCAAACACTTTGTCCAAATACTTACCAGTGCAGGGAGCATCAGAATTGTCTGAAGCTGATCGATAGTAGCGGTTCTGACACACACATTCACGGGAACCTGGCAGTGGAGCGTGGCTGTGGGCAGGGCACAGATGGCAGGGGTCATCTCCCACAGACACTTTAAAGAAGCCAAGTGGACAGGCTAAAGATGAGGAAAATGAGAGAGGCAAAAGCAGGAGAATTATTAAATCAGATTTCAGAAACATTGCTATCTTATTACATTTAACTTGTGCTGCTTTTGCAGGGAGAAGTTATTACACAGAGTAGCTACTGCTGGTTTTGGTGCTTTCCGGAGCATGTATTATTCAAGTTGCAATTTTGAAACAATTAATTTTATTCTATATTTAAGTCCTTAAATTGATTCACTGGCAGATGAAAGAGAACCAGTCCAGAGACAGCTTTGGCCATCTGAAATAATGGTCTTCTCATTACTCATTCAAAGAGCTTTAAAATTGGAGAAGCCAAAGAGCACAGCCATGTCATTGTTTGGAAATATCATTATTAGTTTATTAGTTTTATTATTAGTTACATGTATTACCTACACCCACTTCCCCCCACCCAACACATCTATAATAATTGCTTAAAGTAGTATACACTACCATGGCTGATTTTACATCAAAATGAAGGGCAGACACTAAGACTGGCAGTCCTATTGTTTTCCTGCAGATCTGAAAACTTCCCGGTAATGGATAAAAGCACCTTAATTAGTCAAATTTTATCTGCAAATGCATAGAAACATGTATATGCAACAAGCTGAAACAAGGATGGAAATTCATCCTACAGGGAAAGAAAATACAAAAATAATAACATTAACAATCTGGGAGTATGGCACATTCTAGGTTTGGTAAAGATGCTATGCTGAATTACCTAAAAGGAGGTGCTGGGACCTTACATTGAAGTGCTAGGGCATAGCTTTTGCCATTTTTATCTAAGTTTTATGCAAGTTTTCTGAAGTTGATTTTCTATAAATAGATCTATACATAGATCTATAAATAGATCCAGCTCTTTTAGATTTTATGGACTAAGAAGCTCAGGTGAAAGCTCATTTGCAGACTGACATTTGGTTAGCTAACTTCACAATAAAGAGCTTTTACAAGGAATGGGACCCTTTAGATAGACCCCAGCTGAGCATCTGATGTCAAAACACATAAAGGACACCCTCAAGAGAGCAAATTGTTCTAGTGGTTACCAGAAGCAGAATATTCCCAAGGCCTGTGGATAGCAAAAAAATTATCCAATAAAAGAAAATATGTAAGAGAAGAATATTGTATACAGGTGTTATATGAAATTAGGATCAGATATGTTCAATTCCCTTTGCAGTTACAGGCACAGTCCAGACATAACAGCCCATAACATCTGTGGAGTCCCATCAGCTCTATACCTCTTCTTCAGCATATTACTTCATCTTCTCTCTCAAAATTCTTCTTGGCTGAAGAGCAACCTCCATATGTACAGTGATAAGAGTGGATAAGACCTGGAACAGGTCAGACTGTAAAAGGGAGTTCAATAACTCTGAGTGATAGCTATTAAACAGGAGAACACCGGTTCTTCCAAGCACTCAAAAATTGACAAAATTCAATGTGATACATTGCTATTCAGTGTGTGATACATTGCTAAAAGGGAAGAAGAGACTGGAATTTTTTCATATGATGCATGATGCTAAGAAAAGAGCAACTGCCTTTGCTTCAGGCCTGTATCCAGCAGAAAATCAAATTGTTCTTATATGGAGAGATATAAGATGCCCTGATGGACAAAAAAAAAAAAAAAAAAAAAGTAAGATTTTGTCCACTTTATGAATTATACCCCTTTCACTCAGTTTAAGGCTGTGCTAACAAGCCACAAACGTAGAATGTAATTTTCCACACAATTGGCAAATGCACCTGCAATGAAACTATGAGTGTTTGCACCTGTGCTGAAACTATGAGTATTATGTATTGGAAGTTCTCATTCAACTCACTGCAGCATCATTCAACTAAAATTCACCAGTTCCAGGGATCTTTACTTATTTCAAATTTGAGAATGCTGAACTGAATGTGAATTTTTTTTCTTACAAGTAATTTTATCTCAAATTTGTTTTTTCTTGCATCAAACTCCTTCTCAAGCTTTTGTCAAGGCTTAGAACTAATGGCACATTCATTCCACTTGTCAAGGTAGACACTGTAGAAGATTTCTTTTCTTTCATTTGGTACTACAGCCTGTTATCAAGTGGGACAACAACCTTGCTGCTGGTCATAGTAGTGAAAATGAATAGGTAATGGTAATGTCTGTCATCTATGTGATGCTAGAAGGAAATCTGTAGAGGATATGGACTTTACCCCTGCAGTACAAAACCATATTTACCCTACAAGGGCATTGCTAAGAGAATTCACGTAGGTTCATATTTAGCCCAATTGCAAATCATATGGAAAGCCAGCAAAGACATGCATTTTTCTGGTATTTAGTAAACAGAATTTATTTAAAAATAAATACACTGTTTCAGAAATAAACAAATATTTATTTTTACACAGTTCTTTGAAGTCTACCAGCAGGTTGCTGTTGCGCCTGGGGATGCAGGGATGAGGTCTGCAGGGATGGCACACTATTGATGAATTAGATAAAGATAGTAAGCAAAAGTGCAATGTTGTCGGTTTTATGTAAAGGAACGAAAATGTAGCACCTTGATAAAGAAAGCCAGTTTATATAAGGTAGAACAAGTCTGTTGCTTAAAAGGCCATGCAAGATTTCAGCAATGGTACGGGCAGTCACTCCAAGTGACCATAAGCACTTTGGAATAGATATGCATAACAAATACTAGAGATCAAACACCTACATCTGTTCTTCCTTATTTGCTTCACAAAATCTGGTTTCATCATCCATGCTCCATGCTTGACATTATATGCCTGAACCATATGTAAAGGTGTGCTATTGCTCTCTCCCTAGAACTGCTAGTGTGACTGCTGTCACACTGAGGCGATTTCTTGCTATCTGTGAGCTCTCTTACTCATTGAGGCAGCATCTGTTTTTGAACGAAGTTCTGGAACTGTAAAAGTCAGTGAATGAAGAATTGTTTATTTATGCTGAAAAGATATGACAGCCTGAAAACAGGCGACTTTACAGTAAATTACAGGTTACAAGAGCAATACACAAATTACAGTAGAAGGCTTCCGAGAAAAACTTCCAATATGAGCAACAGACAAAAAAGAAGGGGAAAAAAAGGCCTAACTATATTTAAGAAGGAACCTGGCCTGTTTCTGAAGTGATTTTGTGATATAGGTACTATTCAGAGCAAAGTAGCAGACAATGTAAACATTTCCAATGTTTCCACACCCAACACTCCCTTGTCCTGTATTCAACTTCAGCAGAGTGTGAAGTAGACACATAGGCTCTTCTATAGTAAGCACTCCACTACAGCTCAGTACACTGAACAAGTAAAACTTCATTGCAATTGTTTCACCAAAACCCCACAAATTTTAGTAATCCCTTGCCTGGCAGCCTGGAATAGATTGATATCTTGGCTACACCAGGGTGTCTCCGAGGGCTTTAGATGCTTATCTGTGAAAAACTGAACGGAGCTGAGAGCTGACAGCCCATTCAGAGGCATTGATCCTCAAGGGGGACTTCAACTACCCTAATAACTGCTGGAGGAGGAAGGGCGTAAGTGATCCAGGAAGTTCTGGGACACATCAGCAACTACTTCCTGACCCAAGGAATAGAGGAGGCAATGAGGGAGCTGCTCCTTGGATCTTATGCTCACAAACAAAGAAGGGCTCATTGGTGATGTGAAGGCTGAAGGCAGCCTGGGCTTCACTGACCATGAGATGGTGGAGTTCAAGATCCTGAGGGCAGTGAGCAAAGCAAAAAAGTGAGCTCACTCTTGGTGAGTAGATGTGGTCCCCTTGGTGATTTGGAAGCGTCCCAAGACATAAGGTCTGAGAGGAAAGAGTGGATCTAAAAAAGCTAGTTCATACGCATGGGTTATCTCTTCCACGTGCAAAAGCTGTTCATCCAAACAAGAAGGAATTCAGGCAAAAAATGCCAGGAGGCCTGCATGTTTGAACAAGGAGCTCCTAGCTAAACTCAAACAAAAAAAAAGGAAGGATACAGAGGACAGGTAGCCTGGGAGGAACAGAGAGGCACTGTCCAAACATGTAGACACATGGCTAGGAAAGCCAAAGCCTGCCTGGAATCACATCTGGCAACTGAGGTCAAAAGCAAGAAGGGTTTCTCTAAGTACAGAAGTGGCTAAAGGAAGACCAGAGAAAATGTGGGCCTACTGCTGGGTGGCACGGGGGTCCTGGTGACATAGGGTATCTTCTTCCCATCAGTCTTTATCAGCAAGACTGGCTTTTAGAACTCCAGGCCCTGCAGACCTGGGAGAAGGCGACTAATATTTAGGCAAACTACATAATTCCACAAGTCCTAATGGGATGTACCCATCAGGCTGATGTCATTTTGAGGCCACTCTTGATAACCTTTGAATGAGTGTGGTCATGCTGAGAGGTGCTTGAGTAATAGCATGCAGCTTGGGCTCACCTTCATCCTTGGGATGATGACGGAACAACTAATTCTGGAAACCTTTTCTGGGCACACAAAGGATAAGAAAGTAATTGTGAGCAGCCAGCATGGATTCTCAGAAGGAAACTCAGGCTTGACCAACCTTCTAGGATGAAATTTCTGGCTTGGTAGATGAGGGGAGAGCAGTGGATAGTGACTTCCTTGACATTAGGAAGGCGTTCCACACCATTTCCCATGATATCCTCATGAAGAGCACAGTATAGGCTTTAAGCATTGTCTCCCATAGTATCCCCACAGACAACCTGAATTTGATGAAGTGTGGGCTAGATGAGCAGACAGTGAGGTTAATTGAAAACTTCCTGAACAACTGAACCCAGAGGGTGATGAACAGTGGTATGAAGTTTAGACAGAGGCCAGCATCTAGTGGTGCACCACAGGCCTCAATACTGGGTCCAATATTGTTCAACATCTTTATTAATGAAATGGATGATGACTGTACACTCAGCAAGTGTGCTGATGACAAAAGACTGGTGGCAGCGACTGGTACACCAGCAGCAGGCTGTGTTGCCATGCAGAGGGACCTTGAGAGCCTGAAAAAATGCACTGAGAAGATCCTCATGAAGTTTGGCAAGGAGAAGTGCAAAGTCC